AGAAGAGAGGGAGAGGGACAGGAAGAAGGGGATGAAGAGGAGAGGGAAGGAAGGAAGGAAGGAAGGAAGGAAGGAAGGAAGGAAGGAAGGAAGGAAGGAAGGAAGGGAGGGAATAGCATAGGATGCTGTTTTATCCAAGATCATCAGTAAAATCCTCTGAATGGGCAGAATTGGAACAGGGATCTGAACAGAGTATGGGATTGAGCCATGCATAGATCCACAGCAAGAGTCAGACAGGCAATAGGATTGTGGACACAGAGAGCTTGTCACAGGATTTTGTGAGGAGGTGAAACTGAGAGCTGAATACAGGGGCTTTACAGACCTTGTGCTGGGAAATCAAATGCTTAATTCTACCTTTGCTCTTCTATCCTCCACCAGCATCTTTATATAGAAAAAGAACAATGAGAGATCAAGCAGAGAGCATTTGGCCCTGAAAATGATATAAAGAAAAGCCATCCAAAAAAACTAATGGATAGATAAGTCAGAAAGATAGATGAGTGACAGGAAAGACAATACACAATAAGGAGTTGATTAGATATCATAATTAGTTAATTGCTTCAGGGCTTTTGCTCATGGGGTCGGGTCACTATAAGTTGTGTCAACTCAAAGGCAATCGACAACAACAAAAACAACAGCAAAAGTCAAATGGTGATTAATATTGTAAAACAAAATGTCTCTCAATGAGTGCATGAAAAACCAATATGATTTACAAGATTGCATGCAAATTTTAAAAAATGCATCCTCTAGGGGGAAAAAGGCAGCCACTCAGAAATTAATTCCATTGCAGAGGGAAGGTTCTATGTAACGAATGTAACCTGGTTAGACTCCAAACCTCCAGTTACAAATTCTAAACACTCTTAAAAGCCCTGGCTAACACTGTGTATTTACTGGAGATGACAGATGGAGGTTAAAATGAATGAACATTCAACTAGCACTATAGTGTCATGTGTGCAGTATGTATTTTAAAAAGATCTAGTCTATTGAAATAATTCAGAAAAATATAGTTAACAAAAACGCTATTGGAATATATATATATATATCAAAACTTAGATCTGTATTTCATTAACTATGCAAACGCATTTGACTGTCTTGGCACTTACAATCAGGAAATTAGAAGACGAATTGCTGCATTGGGAAAATGGGCTGTTAGGGAGCTCTCCAGAGTGCTGAAGAGCAACAATTTCAATCTACTAATTGAGATGTGCCTGATCCATGGTCTTGCTATGTATGCATCAGAGAGCTGGACTAAGAAGAAGAAGAATCAATGCCTTTGAGTTCTGATTCTGGAGAAGAGTATTGAATATACCAAGGACTGTCAAGAGAACAAGCAGGTCTGCCCTGGAGAAGGTGAAACCAAGCTGCTTCTTGGAGGCAAGGATCTTGAAACTCTGTCTCACATATTTAAGGCATGTTGCCTTAAGAGACTAGTCCTTAAAGAAGGACATCATTCTTGGAAGGGTGGAGGGACAGCACAGTAGGGGAAGACCCTGGATGAGATGGACTGACACATTAACTTAGGTACTGGAGGTAGTTGTGTTAGAGATGATGAGAGATGAGACTGACTCAGGATGGGGTAGGATTCAGAGCAATTGTACATAGGATTGCTATGAGTTGCAATCAACTTGACGGCACATAACAACAGCAACAACAAGAGCAACAACAACAATTAACCACAGAAGAACTTGAAAAGAACAAATTTAAAATAAAAACAACAACAAAATATAGAGTTGAAAGCCAGAAGTAGAGGCTACAAAATTTAAAATTAATTCCCTCTAGGGAGGACTTCTTATTGTTATTAAGTGCCATTGTGTTGTATACAACTCATAGCGAACTTATGAATGAAAGTCTTGAACACAAAAAACTTTGATTTTTCTCTAAGTTCACAGTTTCTGAAGGCACGCTATTTCAGAAGTGGAAGCCACTACTGCTTTCAAGCTTGTTTATATTTGGGAGCTCTACAAATACCAGGCCTGAGGGCTGCAGGCCCAAGGGCCCAAATGCCTTTTTAAATATGAGGCCGAATCCAATTAGTTCACACCTAGTTGCAAGCAATAGCCACACCCAAGTCTCAATCCCAAACCAGAAAATACATCTTTGCAGATTCTGTCCACTCCTCTCATCTTCCCAGACTGGAAAGTAGTCCTCTAGGAAGGAGAAAAGTAGTTAACCAATGCAGAAACAAAGGCTAGTATTTTTTTTTATTTGAACTATTAAGTTCTTTCTGAGGTTTTAAACATGCCTACATATTACATTAATGAAAATTATAAAACTCTTATAAAAAGTAAATCAAGAGTTTGAAACTACCTAATGAAAACAAAACAAACTAAAAATTCAGCTATTTTAGAGTTTATTCCCAACACATGATGATCTCAGGTATGCAGAGTCAATCTCCAGGCCTTTCTTTCAAGGCACTTGTGGGTGAATGCAAACAGCTAACCTTTCTATTAACAGCCAAATTCAAAAGCTGTTCTTCAGCCAGTGCTTTTTGTCATCACATAGATGCACTTTAATATTTGTTTTCTCCTGAATCTACAGGGAAGAGGTGGAATCAGAGTTAACGTTCTTGGGACTTCTCATAATGGAGAACCGATTGAAAAAGGAAACCAAACCAGTGTTGAAGGAACTGAGTGAAGCCCGCATCCGGACTGTGATGATTACAGGTTTGCCTTTGTGGAGGTCTGAGAACAGAATCACACAGATAAAGTTAAATGAGTTCAAGTGATCAAACAAGAAAGAAAAACAACAACAAAACACTCAGTGGTAGAACTTAAGATGCTCTGGTCTGCTTACCTGGGCATACATGTGACTTCAGCAGGGGTATCTGTCTTGTTTTGTCTACTGTCTGTTCTTCCCACTCAAAGGTCTCCACAGTGCTAACAGACTCACAGTAAAGGTTTAAGCATACGAATGTGTTTATGTTCATCAAGGATCTCAGTGTAAGGGCTTAGAATCTGATTGACTGTCTTCCTGGTAGCAGGGCCAGGTGTGACATATAATGATCTTCAAATCCAAGAAGGCCCTGGCACTAAGTTCTTTTCTCTGCTTAACTGGAACTCAGGTTGAGGATGATTTTTTATGCTATTAGAATGGAGTCTTGTTGTGTTCATCACTAGAACTGTGTCCCCTGAAGGTTATCTATGAAGTCCTTGAACATGTATTTATTTATACATTCACACATGTTCTGGAAATGGATAGGATGTGGTGCTAAAGATTGAGTGAGAGGGGGATGCAATGTTTGCCCATTAGGCAATCTTGGGCAGAAAGAAAGATACATAATTATAAAATATACCTTCTCCTAACTTGTAGAGTCTCCCATTATCCAATATTTCACATTTATGATAACAGTAAAAGGGTCTACTGACAATTCTGAGTATTAGTGGCATATAGCCTACTGTAAACACTAAGGTGTGAAGGAAGAGTAACATTGGCTGTGATGGTTAAGGTTGTGTGTCATCTTGGCTGGGCCATGATTCTCAGTGGCTTGGCAATTAGGCAGCAATGTAAATTCGAAGTTACATAACAATGTAGTCATCCTCCATATTTTGATCTAATGTGAAAACTCTCCATTCTTTGCTAAACATTGATTTTCTCAGATGAGCTTGTCTTTGGAGTTTGGCCTTGCCAATAATCGGGGCCAACATAATAATTACTCCTGAGCAAAGGAGGAGGAAGCTTTACCTATCCAGAGGATGAAAGCACACAGGAAAAGCAGGCACACAGGAAAAGCAGGTCTACACATAAAACTTACACATAAAGCAGATTTTCTTTGTCATCTAGGTGACAACCTCCAAACGGCCATTACTGTTGCAAAAAATTCTGAGATGATTCCTCGGGGAAGCCAAGTGATCCTTGTCGAAGCCAATGAGCCAGAAGATTTTGCTCCTGCCTCAGTGACCTGGCAGCTGGTAGAAAACCAGGAGAATGGACCAGGGAAGAATGTGAGCACGTTAGCAGGGCCTCGCCCCACTGTGGACGTGAGCTCGAGGGCTGCAGCCTGCCTGCAGCCTCCTCTTAACCATCCATGTCATCACAGGATAATAACACCTCACATGTGTCAAGGGGTGTAATTTACAGAATATTTCCACCAGCACTTCTCATCCCTGTCTATGTGTTAAAATCATTTGCAGGGAGTTTGTATAATTTCTGAGGCCCAGGCTACATCAATAACATGAAACTCTCTTTTTATTGGTTTATTTCCTTCTATTTCTTTTCTTTTAAGTTTCTATTTTATATTTGTTGCCTTAAAAAGTTCATATACATTGTATTTCACACTATCCATCATTCACATTGTGTTACATACAACCATTCCCATTCATTATACTTTATAAAATTAATCATCATTGAACTATATTCACCATTACCCCATATTTCCAAATCCTCACCAGATCTTTCACATCTCTTTTACCCCCTCTCTCCACCCATCAAATTGTGTGACCCTATGATTTACCCCCTGTCCATTCTCACCCCTCTGCTCCCACCCTCCCCCTCTTGGATCCTCATACCTGTTTCACTAGTTATCTATTTTTACGATAACACTAGACTCTCTCGCTGGAGGAACCTCTTCTCCTACAATTTTGATATGCGGTTGTGGCTGAGAAACCCTGGGAACTAGGACAAACTCTTACTTTGGCAAAAGAGATAAAGGAGACTCAAAGAGGTTAGATTTACCCAAGACACAAACCTGGTAAAATCTGAGGGAAAAAACTCAGACACAAGTCTGTTTGATTCCACTCCAATCTGACAGCATTTAGATAGCTTCCTCCCAGGGATGAGCTCTGGTGGTCTAGTGAGTAAGAAGTTGTGTTGCCAATCCAAAGGCAGGCAGTTCAAAATCACTAACTGCACCACAGGAGAAAGATGGGCCAGCTCTTCCCAGTGATTTACAGCCTCTGAAAACCTGCTGGAGGATCAGCAACAATTCAGGGCAGATTAAAAAACAATGAGTTTGAGTTGCTGATAATTGGGACATGAATTTCACAGAATGTCAAGCCTTTCATATGACAAGGTTACACTTCAGTTAGACAGGACAGTTTTCTTTCTTGTCTGTCATTCTAGCTACCACTAAGGATACCTTTGCCTGACCTCAAAGAAATAGCCCTCCTAATGAATAAATTTTTAAAAAATGGCACTGCTTCCTCCAAGCTGTCCAGCTGGTCAAGTTAAATGTAGAGTGAACTTCTTTAAAGTGCTTTTGCTTTTTTTTTTTTTTCCTCCAGTCCTGGCTCTGGTCTTACATTTTTCTCAGCTGCACTTTTATGAGTTTAATATCTTTATTGAATTTGTTAGTCCCTGAGAAAAATGACATCACCATCTAAGATGTTCACCTCCTCTAGAATCCCCACTCCTTTCTTGTTAAAAGCTTAAAGAAGCCCTGTCCTTGTGGAATGCTGGAGAGCATGTCTTTTGCTGGTTGTTTTGTAATTTGGGGGGTGGCAGGAGAGAGTGTCCTGCCGTGCCTTCCAATTCATCATATACAATTATTTTTCCTTCCAAATAAAATGCTTTCCACAAGAATAATTCCTTTTATGTATAAAGTGTTCTTGTAAGGTCTCCGAGAAAGGTCAGAACACAGTTCACACCAAGCAAGACAGTTTATTGAGGAAAAACTGCCAGGCTGGCTTTCAAGCAGAAAGCCAACCCCCTCTAAAAGTTAGAGAGGGGTTTCATATTCTCTTCTAAGTAACTTGGGGAAGGGGATGCTCACAGATGTTTTCTACAAGATAGGAAAGTGGGCTGGGGTCTCACCTGTTTCTGGGAAAAGGGCTGGAGCAGTTTCACATCCAGCACAGGTGTTGCTTCCTGTGATTAGATCATGTCAGTAGCCATTCTGGGAAAGGAAGGAAAGGGCTCTGCAATCCTATCAGTTCTCACCTCTTAGGCTGCTTGAATTCTGAGGAACCCACATATGTAAAGCATTATGAGAAATGTTGCATGGAAATACACTGTGGGCAATTGCTATGCTTTTACACGCACATCACCAGATGCTTTCTCCCTCCCCCTGGTCAGGAGGTAGCTGAGGCTGGAACACAGTAATAGAACACTGACAGGGGAGCAATGGGAGGAACGGGGTTTCAGAAAAGGAGAAGAACTGGCACAGTAGAATGTAGGTGTAGAAGAGGACCTGGGAACTCAACAAACAGAAGTCTCTGGTAGGTAGGGGAAGAGTAAAGATGCTAAAAGTGAACGGAACCCGAGAGAGTATGTCTACTTTACAAAGAAGAAATTGGTGTGTGACTGTCTAATAAGTATATTAATGATAAGAGATCTTAAAAAATATTACTTTGTATGAGGATAGGAAAGAATTGCTATTGCATTTCCCTGGAATCACTAGTTGGTACCCTTGAATTATCTCCTTAGGGTAATTTCAGTATATAGACGGACAGCACCTACATTATCTAGAAGGACATGCATGGTTCAGGGCCGTGATCAAAAGTATAATTTTCCTACAGTGTGCAGAGTGGCACAATTTGAGTGTCTTGTTCCTGTGGGTTAAAGCTCCATGAGCAAATGACACATTATGTATTTGCTGCCATCTGCACTATCCTTTGACCTGAGTGTACATTCTTCTGTGAAATATAGAAAAAGACAAAAATGTTCATTAAGAACCAGTGTTGACATATCATCCCCTTTGATTTTAGGAAACCTATACTAACATTGGAAACAGGTCATTACCTGATGGAGAAGGAGGGAACTGTTACCATTTTGCAATGAGTGGGAAATCATACCAGGTGCTGTTTCAGCATTTCTACAGCTTGCTTCCAAAAGTAAGTCCTGGAGGAATGAAGTGCTTTGTTTTATCCCTCAAATTAGAGAGCCAAACGCTTGGTGAAATTAATTGGCGAGGTTGTCTCCCAGTCACTGAATAAATAACTCTGTCAGTCCCACTCAGGCGTCCCCAGTGCCACACCATGGCCTCATTCCTCAATTTCAGTTCTGATGTGTCCTCTAAACCCCAAGGCTAGTCCAACCCCAGTATCCATATCCTTTTCTTACCCCACAAAACAAACAAACAAACAAAACACCTCAACAAAAACCAGCCCTGCAGATAGTTTCAAACATGCCACCTACTTTGTGAGTCAGCGTCTCCCTCAAAGCCACCAATTCATGTCAGGCTTCCTGTCTGAATCCTTAAATTACAGGAGGAGGAAACAAAAGCCTTACAGTTTATTTTCAAAATCATTTGTTATCTTGTCCTCTGTGTGTCCAATTTTAAAATAGAGGTGTACAGGGCTGAGCTGTCAGTGTGGAGAAGATAAATGGAGCACACACTGAAAGGGGGCAGCCATCTGTTAGCTGTGACTTGAACAGTGTCTTGCCTTGCAAACCAAGGACCCTAGAAGACAGATCTGAAGGCTTCCTAGAAAGCTCTGAGCCTAATCCTTAACTGTAGAAATGGAGAGCTGAACTCAGGGAGGTTAAGTATAAGTACCTAGAATGTGCACAGCTACTTGAGACAGCTGAGAATAGAGCCCTCTTTCTTAGCTCACTTAGTTCATTGCTCTTTCCTCTATGTCGGCCACATTAGGAGAGAATGTTTAGTGAAAAAAACTGTGTTTACTTAAGTATTTTTATTGTATTTCTCTGTTGCATTTAAAAAATTATTATTAGTTAGAGATTACCTCATCTTGGAAAAGTGATATGGAAAAAAGTAATAGAATTGTAATGGAGGACTTAAAATGAGAGATAAATATTAAAGCATTAAATCTTGTTATTATTTTTCCCGACATTTGGTCTAAAGCTATACCACCGAGTGCTGTATGAAAGTGGCAACCAGGAGTGAATTTTCACTGCTCTTGTTTTATTTAGAAAGTAATCTTCTTCCTGGTCTTATTGTACTGATACTGTGTTTTGGGTTTTTGTTTTGCTTTGTTCTGTTTTTTCTCTCTCTAGATTCTAGTGAATGGAACTATATTTGCAAGGATGTCTCCTGGGCAGAAATCAAGTCTTGTTGAAGAATTTCAGAAGTTAAAGTAAGTTTTATTGCTTGCAAAGAGAGTAGATTAGTTGTCTGTTGCTGCATAACAAATTACTCCAAAGGTTAAAGGCTTAACAATCTGTAATTAAAATGACACAGTTGCTGTGGGTCAGGGACCTGGTTAGCTGGATGCTCTGATGCCAAGGATAGCAAAGAGGCAGCAGACTCCCGTCATCTCAGAGCTTGACCAGGAAAGGAGCTGCCACCCACCTTGCTGCTTACTTACCTGATTGTTTACAGAATTCTGAGGGCCATTGGTTCAAGTGCCTCCATTTTTACCTTCTACTGGACAAAAGTTGTTCTTGCCATATATGAACATGAGGAAGCTCATCCCATGAACAATCAAGAAGAATCAGAGGAATGAGAAAGCAACACAGATAGCACAGATTTTTAAAATAGCCTAACTTCAGAAATGAAACTGTTGCTGCCATTTCCGAAAGTGAACTCTTTGAGGAGAAATGTGGCATCCAGAATGGAGGAAGACTCTTCAGCAACCTGCATGGTACAGATGACACAACCCTGCTTGCTGAAACTGAGGAGGACCTGAAGTGTTTGCTGCAGAAGGTCAAGGACTGAAGCCTTCAATATGGATTAAAGCTCAATATTGAGAAAACACTGGGCCAATTGGCAGCATCGTCATGGATGGTGAAGAGATTGAGATTGTAAACAGCTTTAGTTTGCTTGGCTCCACAATCAACACTCTTGACACCAGCAGCCAGGAAATTAAAACACATATTGCGTTGGGAAAGTCTGCTGTCAGAGACCGTGCCAGAGTAGTGAAGAGCAATGAGGTCAGCCTGAAGACTAAGGTGCACCTGATACAGGCCATGGTTTTTGCAATCACATACTATGCATCAAAGAGCTGGACAATGACTAGGAATGATAGAATTGATGACTTTGAGCTGTCGTGTTGGAGAAGAGTATTAAATATATTGTAGACTACTAAGAGAATGAACAGGTTCATCCTTGGAGGCAAGGATTCTGAAGCTTCATCTGACATACTTTGGACATGTTGCAAGGGGGCACCAGTCCTTGGAGAGGGATGTCATGCTTTGGAAGGTGGAAAAACAGCACAAGAGAGGAAGACCCTCGATGAGATTAATTGATTCAGTGACTGGGGTAATGCGGGTAGGTGTGTCATAGACAGTAAGTTTGGCACAGGACAGAACAGGGTTTAGGGCTGTTGTACATAGAGTTGCTATGAGTTGCAGGTGACTGACTAAACAGCACATAACAACAACTTCGGAAATGACATCCTGTCAGTTGTGCTGCACTGTCTTCCCAACAAGTGAGTCACTAGATGTAGCCCACAACTCATTAAAAGCAAAGCCCAACTTGTTTCTATTGATTAGATTCTGACTCATGGTAACAGAGTAAAACTGCTCCCAAGGTTTTTCTTGATTACAGCCTTTTGAAAAGCAGTATTTCAGAATTTCTTCCACACTGCTGATGGTTTTGAACCAAAAACCTGTAGGTTAGTAGTGGAGCAAAATCAGTTTTTGTCTTACAGAGACCTCTGCTCACATTCAAGGAAAGTACATAAACACAGGAACATAAGTCCTAGGAAGAAATGATCATTGGGAGGTAACTCGAGTGGCCTAGTGAGAAGAAGTTGCACTGCAACTTCAAAGGCACGTGGTTCGAATCCACAAGCTGCTCATGGGGAAAAAGATGGACAGTCTACCCATTCAGTTAATTGCCTCTGAAAGCCTGCTAGAGGGTCAGCTGTGGGTCAGTTCTGACTTGATGATACATAACAACAACTACCAATAATATTTATTCTGTAACACATAAGGCATATCTTAGAGGAAAATAGATTGATTAAAGAAATAATGGTTGATTTGCATAGGTCCTACTTGGAAAAATGAGTAAATGTATAGATTATTACCAGGAATCATTTGATGTTGGTTCATCAGAAGGTGTGGGAGAATTGACGCCTTTGAGCTGTGGTGCTGGAGAAGAGTATTGAATGTACCATGGACTGCCAAGAAAACAAACAGATTCATCATAGAGAGGGTTAAAACAGGCTGCTTCTTGGAGGCAAGGATTCTGAGGCTTCATCTAACATACTTTGGACGTGTTGTAAGGAGGGTCCTTGGAGAGGGACATCATGCTTGGTAGGGTGGATGGACAGCACAGGAGGGGAAGACCCTCTATGAGGTGGATTGATTCAGTGACTGAGGTAATTGGGATGGGTGTGTCAGAGATAGTGCGATTGGTACAGGACAGAGCAGGGTTTAGGGCTGTTGTACCTAAGGGTCGCTATGAATCACAAGCAACTCGACAGCACATAACAACAACAACAACAACAACTTGGGAATAAATGGAATGGTATTTTCCCCCCATCTGTCTAGTCCTGGGAAAGATTGAATATAGAAATTATAAGAAAAAAAAATTCTTACTGTCTCCTTTGCAAATACAAGTGATCAAGTAACATTAGAGTTAAATGGTCTTCTTGACCGAGACTTACCCTTTTTTATTTTTATAAGAATGTCCCAATTTCTGGTGCAGACATTTTCTGGAAAAGATAGTGGGAAAACTTTATGGAATTGCTCATAACTAGTAGGTTATATAAGGAGATTGTTCTGTGCTATTATTTTTATTCCTCAAACATTCTCAGAAGAGTCTCAAAAACTACCTATTAAGTACCATAATGCCTTGAGGCTAGGTTTGTAACTAGTGTCAAAAATTACTATTTCACTTACAAGGTCATTATATGATATTGGTTGAAGAAAGTAATTTTACCCTTCTAAAACACAGAGGTAGTTTGTCAGCTTAAATGCTTAATTTCAAAATTCTATATTGACCAAAGAAAATTAAATTCAATAAGATCTTAGAGTGAGTTATATTCTCAGACAGTTTCCTCATCTTCCTTTTCACTCCTGATAAAGGAGTCAGTGATAAACTGACATTGTTCATAAGGCTGCCAGAGTCACTCTGAATTCAGGAACACTAGAAAACAAAAGACTGCTTGTATTATACAGAAAGCAGATACATGCATTAGGCCTGAAAAAAAAAAGTCATTTTTCTACAAATATGTATAGTCAAGATACATGTTTATATGCAATTCAAGCAATTTCTGTCAAGTCATAAACCATCAATAGCCGACTATCAAACGGTTTTTCAGAGGCTGTAAATTGCATGTGGAGATTACCCATCTTTCTCCCACCCAGGAACTGGTGGATTCAAACCATCACACTTCGGAATATTTATAGGCTGGCATTCATTTACAGCACAATATCTGGAGGGTGCAAAGGAACCCAGGTGGCATGGTGGATTATGTGTGGAGTGTTAGCATAAAGTTTAGCAATTTGAATTTATAAACTGTTCTACATACACATTAAGGTTTATAGCCTCAGAAACATGATGGAAAGTCCTCATAAGTTAGAATCTAGTTAATGGCAGTGGATGGTTGATGGTGCAAAGATTAGCACACTGAGTTGTTAATATAAAGATTGGAAGCTCAAATCCACTCGGAAGAAAAGAATGATCTGCTTCCAAAATCAGCTACTGAATCTAGATAACACAGTTCTACTCTTAGACACAGCTTTGTCATGAGTAAGAATCAGCATGACAGCATATGCTGTCTTTTATCTCTTGTTGTTGTTACGTGCCATTGAGTCACTTGAGGCTCAAAGTGACCTTATGTTCCACAGCTCTGAACCTTGCTCTATCTTAAGCCAATTTCATTGTCTCTGACACACCTACCCTCTTACCCCAGTCACTGAGTCAATCCTTTTCATTTAGGGTCTTCCTCTCTCATGATGTCCCTCCACCCTTCCAAACATGATGTCCTTCTCCAAGGACTGGTCCTTCCTGGCAACATGTCCTTAGTATCTGAGACAGAGCTTCAAAATTCTTGCCTCCAAGGAGCAGCTTGGTTTCACCCTTTCCTGGAAAGATCTGTTTGTTCTCTTGGTGGTCCATGATATGTTCAATATGCTTCTCCAGCACCACAACTCAAAGGCATAGATTTTTCTTATATCCTCCTTAGTCATGTCCAGCTCTCTAATGCATAGTAAGTAACTGTAAGGCCAGGGCCTGAATCAGGTGCACCTTTGTCTCTAGGCTGAAATTGTTGCTCTTAGGCACTTTGGAGATGTGTCTGACAGCAGATTTTCCTAATCTGATTAATCTTTTGATTTCCTAACTGCTGGTGTCCAGATAATAAACAAATAATAAGTTGTATCACATGATTTTTATCTACATGTGAGCATTTCTGACCTATAATGATAATGTTTTCTCATTTGTTAACTGGTAATAAAACTGTAAAAATCTTTCCCAATTTCCTGTTGTTGATTTTTGTTAGCTTATGCTTTTTAAGAAATCATATTTGAGCCTTTGCTATTTATTCATCCTTATTGTAATGTAATGTTTACTTACAATAGGAGATAGAGGGTGTCTCTTGTCAGAAATTACTTTGTAACAGTTCTATTTTCTTCCCCCTATTTATAAATGTGTTTTCACATCTGACTGTTGTAGACAAGGAGCATATTTTCCCACTTGCACTGGCAGATGCATCACTGATATGTGTAATATGTATCTGGTTGCATCTGTTAAACCATTCCCTAGCCTCTCACCTTAGAGTCTGAACTCTAAACTCTGAGCAGCAGTCAGCAATCAAAACACAGCTGGGCTGGGTTATGATCTTGGATCAAGTCACACGGAAGTGCTGTACTTACGATCACGCACTCTTAAATTTCGCTTTGGTGGATACAGTCAGACACTACTGTATACTTACTTCTGAATCCATACATCTTTGAAAGTGTGAGATTACCATCTCTGTGATAGTTTTAGTAAAACTTGGCTGTGTAGTACATTATATGTTGGGTTGCTAGCCAAAAGATTAGTGGTTCAAATCCATCAGCCACTCCTTAGAAGATCTGAAGCCTTGATTGATAGCTTCAGAAACTCAATGGAAGATTGGCACAAGTCAGAATTCACTTGAGGACGGTGGGGTTTTGGTGGACAACCTTGATTGTATCATTTCATTGTGAGTGAGGTAAATAAGAGAAATAATGTACTGGCCTTGTATCTCTGGGGATACTGTCCGCACCCCTCTTCCCCGAGTCATTTCCCTTCACCCTGACTCTGTGTTCAATAGGTTATATATACATGCCAAGCGAGTTAGTGATGATGGAGATTATTCAAGTGAGCTATTAAGCTTTTAATTTTTCTTATCCTTTCCCCTCCAGTTATTACGTGGGCATGTGTGGAGATGGAGCTAATGACTGCGGGGTGAGTAGAAATGGCTCTGACTAATGCCTGCTGTTCTCTGACAGCCCTCCTGAGCACCACACCACCCCTCCTGGTGCGGCCTCTTCACCTTTCTCTTCCCAATCACTTGATCATTTTGCTGCCTATACCTTCCTCTACCTGAGTGTGGGTTGACAGTGGAGAGGAATAAGGTGAGATAAGTGGCTTCAGCTGGTTTTTTTTGGTTCCTTTTATGATAATAAGGACAGAGGGCTGCCTAGACTTGTTTCTGAGCCAGAGGAACTTCATAAGACTAGCTGTTTTCTAGCTCTGAAATTATCAGTGAGGCATCTAGTCTGAGAAAAGTGGGAATTGTTTTTGTTTTTGTTTTTGTTTTGCCTGAAGTTACACAGCTGGTAAAGTCTTGTTGTTATGTGCCATCAAAATCAAATACATGAGTCGAGTATCTCTCATAGCAACCCTAAGAACAACAGACCTGAATCATGCCCTACCCTGTGCCGTCATCATCATCTCTGCCACACTAGAACAGTCTCTTTGTCAATCCATCTCCTTGAGGATTTTTCCCTACTTCCATGACCCTCCACTTTTCCAAACTTGGTATCTTTCTCTAAGGATAGACCTCTCCTAACAACATGCCCAAAGTACATGAAATGAAAGTTCCCCATGCTTCTTTCTAAGGAGCATCCTGGCTGCATTCTTTTCAAGGCACATTTGTTCATTCTCTTGCAAGTCCATTGGATATTTAATGCCCTTCTTAAGCAACATAAACACATGGATTCTTATTCTGTCATCTTTTTTCACTGTCCAACTCTCAGATACATAGCAAGTAGTTGAAAAGACCTGGATCAGGTTCACCTTAGTCTTTAAACTGACATCCTTGTTCTTCAGCACTTTGAAGACTTTCCCAGTGCAACACATCTTTTGATTTCCTGACTCCTGGTACCAATGTTGTTAGCTGTTGGTCCAAGCAAGATGAATTAATTGACAATATCTATCGTTTCTCCATCTACCATGATGTTGCCTATTGGTCTATTGGTGAGGATTTCTGTTTTCTTAATAGATAAATGTAATCTATACTGAAGGCTGGATGTAGTCTTTGAACTTTTACAGAAAGCACTTCAAGTCCTCCTTGCTTTTCAGCAAGCAAGGTTGTGTCATCTGTATAACTCAGGTCGTTGATGAGTTTTCCTCCAATCTTGATGTCACAGTCCAAATGCAAAGATGAAGACATTGAGGATTTATATAAACTTCTGCACTAATAAATAGATAAAATATGCATTCAAGATTCATTAATAATAAGTTACTACAATGTAAAAGTAGGAAACAGGGAAGAAGGACAGGTAGTTGAAAATTATTAGCATGGTGATAGAAATGAAGCTAAAGATAGAATGGCTACATTTTGTACAGTTATTTACTCATTGCAAATACCTTTTTAAAAAAACATAAGCATCAACTGTACACTTGGACTTCACCTGACAAACTTCACAGGAATCAGAATGTGGGGAAAAATCTTCAAAGAAGCAGGATATCAGCAGTCAAAACCAGGCCAGGTGCTGATTGGGGAAAAGATCATCAATTGCTCATATACAAGCTCAAACTGAAGCTGAAGGAAAGGAAGAGAAATTCATAAGAACCAAAATATGATCTTGAATCCATCCTATCTGAAGTAAAAAACTATCTCAAGAATAGGTTTGATGCATTGAACACTAATTCTTGAAGACCAGATGAACTGTGGAATGACATCAAGGATATCATCCAGGAAGAAAGTAAGAGTAGAGACAGAGTGAAATAATCTATCAAAATGAATGTCATAAAGACTGAGAATGGGAATGGAATGTTGAAAGATCAAAACCAAGATTACCAAAGTGAGGAGGACTGACAGAGGGTTTCAAAGAGCATCTTGAGAAGACAAAGCATTATAATGATACAAAGAGCTGGAATTAGAAAACAAATTAGAAAGATCTGTTCAGTATTACTCCACCTAAGCTGGGCTGTACGAGGAGGAATGTGGCATCAGGATTTGTGGAAGAATCATCAACAACCTACGTTATGCAGATGAGACAACCCTACTTGCTGAAACTGAGGAGGACCTGAAGCACTTGCTGCAGAAGGTCGACTGCAGCCTTCAATATGGATTGAAGTTCAACATCAAGGAAACAAAGATTCTCACCACTGGGCCAATTGGCAGCATCAGTATGGATGGTGAAGAGATTGAGATAGTTAACAGTTTTAGTTTACTTGGTTCCACAGTCAACACTCTTGGTAACAGCAGCAGAAAATCAGGAGACGAATTGCATTGGGAGAGTCAGCTGTGAGGGACCTCTCAAGAGTACTGAAGAGCAACGACATCAGGCTGGGGACTAAGGTGCGCCTGATCCAGACTATAGTCTTCACAATTGCGTACTATGCATTAAAGAGTTGGACAGTGACTAGGCATTATAGAAAGAGAATTGATGCCTTTGAGCTGTGGTGCTGGAGATGAGTGTTGAATATATCATGGACTCCTAGGAGAACAAATAGGTTTGTCCTGGAGAGGGTGAAGCCGGAGTCCTCCTTGGAGTCCAGGATTCTGAAGCTTCATATGACATACTTTGGACATGTTGCAAGGAGGGACTGGGGCTTGGAGAGGGACATCATGTTTGGAAGAGTGGAGGGACGCACAGTAGAGGAAGACTCTCAATGAGATGGATCAATTTTGTGAGTGGAGTGGTGGAAATGAGTGTGTTTGAGACAGCATGGTTGAAACAGGATAGAACGACATTTAGAGCTCTTGTACATAGGGTCACTATGAGTCGCAAGCAACTCTATGGCACATAATAACAACAACAACAACAAAAGAACTAAAAAAAAATCAGGCTTTGAGTTGCAATACTGCAGGATGTCATAGGCAAAATCTTGATGGATGCATCAAAAGAAGATGGAGAAATGTACTATGCTAAAAAGAATTTTTTGACACAGAACAATTTAAGAAAGTTGCATATGATCAGGAACTAATGGGGATGAAGGAAGATTTTCAAGATGCACTGAAGGTATTGGCATAAAATGAAGCCCCAGATATTTATGGAATACCAATTGGCATGTTTCAACAAATGAATGCAGTTCTGGGTGTCTTCACCAGGATATGCCACAGTCTTTAGAAGACAGCAGCCTAACCAACAGACTTAAGGAAATCTACCTTTGTACCAATTCCCAAAAAGGTAACCTAACAGAATGAGGAAATTTTTTAATAACATTGTTAATAGCACATACGAGTAAAAGTTTGTTGAAGATTATTAAAAAATGGCTAGAACAGTATATATTGACAGAGGACTGTGAGCTTTCAAGCTGAATTTAGACTCGGGATACCATTGCTGAATTCAAGATATATTGGCTAAAAGCAGAGAATACCAGAAGGCTGTCCATTTGTGTTTTATTGACTAGGCAAAGGCTTTTAGCTGGATGTATAATAACAAATTGCAAATCATATTAATAATGAAAATCCCAGAATACTTAATTGTGCTCATATGAAACTTATACTCAGAACATGAAGCTGTTGTTCACACAATGTGAGGGAACACTACATGGTTTAAAATCAAGAAGGATGTGCCTCAGGGCTACATTCCTTTTCTATATCTGTATTATGTGTTATTATTGTTGGCATGTACCGTCAAGTACACTGCGACTCATAGAGCAACCCTATGGACAATAGTTCTGAACCCTGCCTTAGCCTTAACCAATTACATTGTCTCCAAACACACCTATCTTTGTAACCCCAGTTATTATGTCAATTCCTCTCATCCAGAGTCTTTTTCTTCTATACTGACACTCCACCTTTCCAAACATAATGTCCTCTTTTAAGGACTGTTTCCTTTTGGCAACATGCCCAAAGTATATGACACATAGCTTCAAAATCCTTGCTTCCAGTGAGCAACTTGATGTCATTCTCACCAGGACAGAACTCTGTTCTCTTGGCAGTTCATAGTACATTCAATATTCTTCTCCAACACTACAACTCAAAGGCATAGATTCTTCTTCTATCATCCTTAGTCATTGTCCAGCTCTCTGATGCATAGCAAGTATTTGTGGAGACCATGGCCTGAGTCAGGCACACCTTAGTCTCTAGACTAACATTGTTGCTCTTCAAAACTCTGGAGAGCTTCCTGACAGCAGATTTTCACAATGCAATTTGTCTTTTGATTTTCTGACTGCTAGTGCCAAGAGTACTGATTGTGAAACCAAGCAAGTGGATATTGTTAACAATCTCAACCTCTTCTCCATCCATCATGATGTTGCCAATTGGCCCAGTGGTGAGAATCTTTGTTTACTTGATGTTGAGCTTCATTTCATATTGGAGACTGTAGTCCTTGACCTTCTACAGCAAACACTTCCTCAGTTTTGTCCAATCATACTGTGTCATTTGTACAACACAAGTTACTGATGAGTCTTCCTCCAATCTTAAGATCACATTCCTCATAGAGTCCAGCCTCCTGAATGACCTGTTTCACATATAAATTGAAAAGATATGGAGACAGGACACATCCTTGACACACCCCTTTCCTAATATTGAACCATGAATGTTTTATTGCTCTGTTCTAACATAACTTCCTGGTCCAAGTATAGGTTTCACAGGCACACAGTTACATGCTCCGGGATTCCCATTTTCCTCAACGTTAGCCACAATTTGTGATCCACACAGTAAAATACCTTTGCATAGTTAGTGAAACACAGATAGACACTCCTCTGATAGTTTCTATTTTCAGCCAAGATTCATATGACATTAGATTTTATATAGATCATGTTTATTCCAGAATTAGTTTTATTTATTTTTATTTTATTCTTTTTTTTAATTGCGGAAAACTTCTTTACAGTTCAAACTGGTTTTCCATTCAACCATTCATACATATTTTGTTTTAGGACATTAAATACAATCCTTATCTTGTAGCTATACTCTTCCCACTTTCTCCCCATGATCTTTATTTCTATCAGTCCTTCTAGACTACTTTTCCTGCCTTCTGAGGGTTCTTTTTTAATTTATTTTATACAAGTTTATTTACAAAATTCAAATACATTATTTTCAAGAACAAATTATTTCATTTTCCTCATGCCCCTTATCAAATTGTACAACCAGTCCCCGCCCCCCTTACCCTGCACATCCACATCCCTCTCCTTCCACCCTCTCCCAACCCTCTTGGATCCTTATACTCATTCTACAAAGATGGTTTTATACCCTTGTATGACTGAATTAGTTCACTCAGCATAATGATTTCCAGTCCTTCCCAAATTTGGTAATAATTAACAAAAATCATTGCTCCTGCATGCTGCGTAGTGTTCCATTGTGTGAATGTTCCATAATTTCTCAATCCATTTGTTTGTAGTTGGACAATTGGGCTGTTTCCATGTTCTTGCAATGGTGAATAACGCTGCTATGAACATTGGTGTAAAAACTTCCATTTGTGCCTCCGTTCTCATATTCTAAGGGTATATTGCAAGTAGTGGAATAGTTGGGTCATATGGAATTTCTATGTTTGCCTTCTGAGTTTTATCTCTGAGAAAATTTTTCCATTTTGATCTTATATAATTGATCATTCTAAGGAGTCAGTACCTCCTCAAGGTTTAGTTTTTTAAAGCCGATTTTAATAAAAACCTTTACACTCAAAAAATCCTAAACTTATGTGTTTGGTAGTTATATGCTGCAACAAAATCTACTTGCCCAAGCAGATATAATTAAATTTAAAATGTAATTGATTCTCCATAGATTACTTTTCATTTGTAATAGAAGGCAGTGCATATTTTAACATCTAAATTTTAAAGAAACTGTTATATCAGTGGACAATTTGAAGATTATGTCCTTAGATTATGTATTAAGAAAATATTTTAGTTGCTATATCATGGGAAAGTAAGTGAAGATGCCTTTATATTTATAAAGCAAACTTAATATATAATGCCTAAGTATTTGTTTTATTTTATTTAAATTATTTCCTCTAAAGTTCTGGGAAAACTAAATTAAATTTATTTTATTTAAAGTATTTCCTCTAAAGTTCTGGAAAAACTAAAAACTAAATTCATATTCTTTCGTTGTTAGGTGTGATTGAGTTACTTCTAACTCATAGTGACCCCACACAATAAAAGGAAACACTACCATAAGGTCCTCCAGCATCCTTACACTCAGTGCTGTGCTTGAGCTTCTTATTACCACTATTACATTTGTTATATTCATACAATGGAACACTATGCAGCATTGAAAAACAAGGAACTCATGAAATGTTATACAAATCGGTGACCCTGGAGGACATTATGCTGAGTGAAATATCTCAGTCACAAAAGGACAAATATTGCATAGTGCCATTGTTGTATAGCAGGCCTGATATTAGATTTGGGGTGAAACTAAAAGGGGATAAATAATATATACTGCATTGAAACAGATTATGAAGAGAACTGTTTAGGAAGAACATATGATTAGATATTATTGTCATGACAACTATCCAGAATGAAAGCTGCATAGTGGAGTGGAGTGGACTTGGGAGAGGGCATGAAATATATATATTGAAATATATATATACACTTTAACTTTTCAAAGAGAAAAGTGAACTGGGTGTCTGGGCAGTGAGGAAAGTGAGTGTACAACAATGAATGAATGGAAATCCAAAGTCTCTGTAAACTTTCACTAAAATTTTAAAAAAATTAAAAAAAGAAAGTAATAAAAAAAATCTATGTTGTTGGAAGTCTTGCTCTTTCTCACTGACTCTCTACTTAATCAAGCATGGTATCTTTCTCCACGGTCTGGTCTCTTCTAATAGCATGTCTCTACATATTACTATCCTTGCTCTAAGGAATATTTTGGCTGTATTTTTTTTCCCATTTAGGTTTGATCATCTGGCAATCCATGGGATGGTCAACATTCTTCCTGATACTATAATCCAATGCTTAAATTCTTCTTCAGTCTTCCTGATTCATTATCTAACTTTCACAAATATTAAGTGAATGAAAACACCAGAGATTATATTAGGTACACCTTAGTCCTCAGAGGCATTTTATCCTTCTTAACACTTTAAAAATGTCTTTCATTTCAGGTTTGCCCAATGCAGGATGTACTTTGATACCTTTACTGCTATTTCCATGGATATTGATTATGCACTCCTACTGTAATATTATTAATTAGTATTAATGACAATGAGACTTCCTATTAATTTTCTGCCTTATGTTTCATGAGTAGTGAGTGTGTTGTTGTTATTGTGTGCCATCAAGTTGGATGGATCCACAGCTAATACCCTAGCAGGTTTTCAGAAACAGTAAATAGCACAGAAGGAGAGTTCCCTTCCTTCTCCCACAAAATGACTAGTGGATTCAAACCACGTGGCGGACCCAGCCCATTAATTATGAGACATTTATAAGAAACCAAGTAAATCAAGTGCCAAAAGGCCAGTCTTTGCCACCAAGAGTTCATTGTCTGATGAAGGATATAACCATGCATAAAATTATCTCTAACATGAAACAGACAGTGCTGAATTATATAATATTGTAAAAAAATCCAAAGAAAGAAAAGAGATTTTAAGAGAAAAAAGGATACACCTCCAATTCATAGATATTCTATAAAGACTATTTATACAAGCTTTAAATAGAACAATGATCATTCCAGAATAAGGGAAGCAAGCAGCATAATGCCAAATGATTCCACTGAATAACGGCTACAATTTCATTTACATAACTGAAAACAGAGAATTATCACCAGCTGAAAACCAGTGTCAGGTAAAATTCGCCACAGTTTCAGATGGGACCACAGAAGCAGGCAAAGGACCATGCTTGAAGTCCACTAACAATTGCAGACTTTAAGTTTACAAAACTGGTTCTGGTGCTTCAGTCTCCTGCTACGTGGTGATCAGGATGTGACTTGTGACCTTGTGACTTTGAGTCCAGCTACTAAGACCGAATGTTTGACTTAAACTAGGTATTGTGAATATCTTTAGTAAATCATTAATGGGCAAGTTCTTCAGATACGCTTGGAAACTTGAAGGCAAACCTGTCCATTCTTATTATGTCTTCCTGGAGGTTGTAATCTATTTTCAACTATATTTTTCTCAAGGGCAAACTGTCATTCCCTGGACTTGCCCAGCCTTGCTTCATATAGCCACATGATGTGTTTAATGGTTAGAAATCAATCCAAATGGAGCCTGAACTCATGTCAAGAATTGAGGAGAAAAAAAAAAAGAATTGAAATGGAGTTAAGTTTTCTGCTGTGGACCTCAGTCTTCTATAAAAACAAGTGCTTCAGAAGTTAAGCTTTAATACAAGATATGTAAGTCTAGAGGCTAATGTATGCCTGATCCAGTCCACGGTCTTCATAATTATTTGCTGTACATCAGGGAACTGGACTAAGGATGATAGAAGAAGAATCGATGCCATTGAGCTGTGGTGCTGGAGAAGACTATTGAATATACTATGGACTGCTAAGAGAACAAACAGGTTCATCCTAGAGAGGGTGAAACCAGGCTGCTCCTTGGAGGCAAGGTTTCTGAAGCTTCATCTGACATACTTTTGCATTTTTCCAGGAGGGACTAGTACTTGGAGAGGAACATCATGCTTGGGAAGGTGGAGGGACAGCCCAAATGAGGAAGACCCAGCAAGAGATGGATTGACTCATTGATTGGGGTAGTGGAAGTAGGTGTGTCATAGACAATGAAATTGGCTCAAGATAGAGCAAGGTTTAGGGCTGTTGTACATAGGGTCACGATGAGTTGGAGTTGACTCAATGGCACATAACAACAACAGCACCACCACAATATTTTCTGAACAAAAAATATTGTATAAAACCTTCATTGTCTTTGTGCAAAACTATAAAAGTTCAAATATATATATAAATCTGTGCTATTGACAGGCTTAAAACCTCAGTGAAAGTATCCTAAGAGTCAGTTCTCATTCAAAGGCAATGAGAGTTGGATTAGAGAAATGCAAATTCTCATTTCATTTCACACAATTATTGCAGGCTTAGGAGCTTAATACTATGTTCTATTGCCCACTGTCTGGTTGCTCTCTGCCCTTTTGGACAGTTCTCAATATTCAGGGAAGGTGAGTGAGCCCTCCTTCCAGGCCGACAACACCCATGCTGGAATGAACCAGTGGTGAATATCATTTGTTGCCTGTCTCAGGGAGGGTAACGAATGCCCTTACTCCAGTTGGTGTTGACGATGAGTCAATTTCCGCTGTTATCTCAGTGGCTGGACCAGGCAGGGAGACATTCTATCTCTTCTTTTCATTATTTACAAAGAATGGTAAGTATAAGAAGTATATTCATGAGAGTTCTCCACTTGAGTCCACCCATATTTGAAAGTCAATCTCTTTCCATTGATTTTTTAATGAGTTTTTATATTTTTTATAACCTCCACCTCCACATCACCAATACAAATAAACACATACACACATTAACACTCTGCCGCCTCAGTCTTTCACTTCTGGATCTTTGCTTAGTGGTTGCTTCTTTGGTTGCTCAAGGAGGAAAGGTGTTTTTAATAGGACAACATAAACAGAGACCCTTGAAGAAAACCTGGAATAATATTTTAATTATTCTCTCTTTTCCTGAGAAGTCACTGGAATGACATGAGTTTGTCATTTTAGGCTTTGAAAATGGCTCATGCAGGCATCTCACTGTCAGAGCAGGAGGCATCTGTGGCATCACCTTTCACCTCGAAAACAGCCAACATCGAATGTGTGCCTCATCTCATCAAGTAAGTCCCTTCCTCTCCCCTCAGCCCCATGACTGATGGACTTACCTCTCTGGCTCTGAAGACACAATTCAGCTATTGATGAAAGTGATTGCTACAACATAGAAGTGGATAAAGTGCTATTGAAGTGACTGTTAGTGCTTGAGGATGCTGGTAAAAGTGGTGAGAAAGGGACTTGTCGATTCTTCAAAAAAGCTGAGTGAGTTTGTCACGTGGACAGTTGAAACCTTGAGTCGATATTCAATATTCGAAAGTAAATTTCTTACTTCTCTTACATTGTTTTGCATGTTGGGTGCTCCCTGGAACCTTTCTCTCAAGAGTTGAGCAGAGAGGAGAAAACAAGGGAGCCCCTCCTCACTAGACACAATGCCATCATACTATTGTCTCCCCAGAATGCCAGTGAATATCCAAAATGTTTGCCTAGTTTATTGACAGTGTTTAAGGACAGAGAAGGCATTAAGTATCATTATCTCAGTGTACCTCTTTGCTGGCATTGTTTCAACTTATGCTTTAAAGTAGTTGAAAAACAAAACATTAGGTGTTATATTTTATTAGTAAATCTTGCTTATCTCTTGTTTCCAATAATGTTGCGAGCTATCTCCTCACCATCACTACACTCTTACACAAAATTCAAATGACTCAAAATGAATGATCTGGGAGAAATAAACACATTTTTAAAGTTCATATTAAAAAGAGTAATTTTTAAAAGGACAGCCATGGCATTTACAGTTTGTCCCTTACTGCGTCTGAACAGGAGGTTATTAGTAGGAGTCATACTGAGTCTGGTTGAAAGATTCCCGGCCCTAGATTCCTTGACACTGTCTGGTCAAATTTCCTCAACATAGTATGGCACTCATATCACCCTGGTCATTTGCGTCTGTCCCTGCATGTCCTTCATGCCCTCCAATATCATTGCCTTCTTCATCTCCAAAGCAGCTGCTTTTCCCAATTCCCATGTCCCCTACTTCTGGGGATGATTTGGTTCTTGTAGTCAGTGGGGGAGGCTCAAAACCCAAGAGTTCTTTTAACTCTTCCTTCTTCTTCCCCCATGAACAACTAGGCACTATGTTTTCTTGATTTGTGCTAGGCGTTGTCTTGCCCGGCCATTTCTCTATTACCTTTTTGCCTTTAACTTGTCTGGCTTATACCATAGTGACTACAAAATGATAGTGTTTGGGATTCCATGTTTTCCATCATCTATACAACCCACAGATTTGTCCTGGAAAGGGTTAAACCGGGTGGCTCCTTGGAGGTAAGGATTCTGAGGCTCCGTCTAACTTACTTTGGACATGTAGTGAGGAGAGACCGGTCCTTGGAGAGGGACATCATGCTTGGGAGGGTGGAGGGACGGCGCAGGAGAGGAAGGCCCTCTATGAGGTGGATTGATTCAGTGACTGGGATAATTGGGATGGGAGTGTCAGAGATGGTGCGATTGGCACAGGACAGAGCGGAGTTTAGGGCTGTTGTACATAGGTTCGCTATGAGTCGCAGGCGACTCGACGGCACATAACAACAACAACAACAACATACAACTCATCAGAAGCTCTGATGGCCTAGTGGTAAGAAGCTGCACTGCAGTCCTGAAGGCACTCTTCAGGAAAGATGGACAATCTCCTCGTGTGCACTTAACTGCCTCTGAGAACTTGCTGAGGGGTCAGCTATGGGTCGGTTCCAACTCAACAGTACACAAAAACAACATACACTGAGCTCAGAAATTATGGTGGATAAGAATGATGCCCTACATATGAACACCTTTGGTGACACTTCACCAAAGAAGACATTCTGATGGCAAACAAACATATGTAAAATGTTCAAAATCCCTAGCTCTAAGAGAGATGCAAATCAAAACAACTATGAGATATCATCTCACTCCAATAAGAATAGCAAAGTTCAATGGAGCATCTAACAGCAAATGCTTGTGAGGTTGCAGAGAAACTAGAACCCTTATTCACTGTTGGTGTGAGTATAAAATGATTCAATCACTTTGGAAGGCAGTATGGTGCTTTCTTAAAATGTTGGAAATAGAAATACCATTTGCCCCAGCAATTCTCTACTGGGAATACACCCCAAAGAAATCAGAACTGCCATCAAAACAAATATATGCACACCTATGTTTATTGCTGCAGTGTTCACAATATAAAAGACATGGAAACAATCCAAGTGCCCATCAACAAATGAATGGATAGAGAAGCTGTGGTATATTCACACAATGTAATACTATGCAGCATTGAAAAATAAGGAATTAATGAAATATTATACAAAATGGGTGACCCTAGAGGACATAATGCTGAGTGAAATAGCTCAGTCACAAAAGGAAATACTACATAGTGCCACTGCTATAAAACAAGACTGACATAGGGGTTGGGGGGAAACTATGAAAAGAAGAGTTAAATAATATACACTGCATTGAAACAGATGAGTGAAAGAACCATTTAAAAGGAATATATGAATAGGTATTATTTGCATGACAACAGTCCAGAATAAGAGGTACATAGCAAAGTGGACTGGGGTTGGGAGGGAGGAAATTGTGCAACAATGAAAGAATCTTTTTTCAAAGAGAAAAGCAAACTGGGGAGAGGGGAGGGAGGAAGATGTACAATAATGAATGAATGGAAATCCAAGTTCTCTGTAAACTTTCGTTAAAATCACAATTAAAAACACATAAACAAAACAAACAAACAAACAAAAATAGGTCTCTGAAAAAAAAAGAGTGATGCCCTAAAGTAGCTGCATACCTTTAAAACAGATGTTATTGTTGTTATGCACCATCGAGGTGGAATCTGGTGATAGCTGATTCTCTAATGGATTTTTCAGAGGCAATAAATCAAAGATGGAAGGAGACTGCCCAGCTTTCTCCCACTGAGAAGCTTGTGGATTTGAATTTTGTGCCCTTGGGTTGGTAGTACAACTCCTTACCACCAAGCCACCAGAGCTTCCTCTTTAAAGCAGATAATAGAAAAAGAGAACTTTCTCTCTCCCACTCTCTCTCTTTGTATGTGTATATGATTTGTTCCTGAGTGGCTTAAATGGTTAATTATTGGACAATTAACAGAAAGTTTGGGAGTTCAGACTAGCCCAAGAGTGCTTCAGAAGACAGACCTACAGACCTCTGCTCTGAAAAACATGGGCCAATATGATTTAGAATGAAAACTTATGCACACACACACACAATGACTATATAGAAAATATATTTTGTAATCATCATTGTTGTATGCCCCTGAGTTGGAACCAACTGATACCTGACCTTCTGGGTTGTTTTAGAGACTCCAAATCACATAGGAGACTACCCATTTTTCTCCTGGAGAGCAACTGGTGGTTTTCAACTGCATGTTTTTGGATTGACAGCATAATTCCTTATCACAAAACCACCAATATATAGTATGTACTTCAAGTTGTGTGTGTGTGTGTCCATGTGTGTGTGTGATATGTACTCTTATAAGAATCAAAAATGACTCATAGCTCACCCTCCTAAGTGTTTTTAGAGGGTATAAACGGAACAGGAGGAGATAGCCCCTCTTTCTCCTCCTACAGAGAAGTTAATGGATTCCAATCTTGGCAGCTAATTCTTTACCCACTAGGGCACCAAGCTGTATATAACAAATTATATATGTAGCTCATGATTGGTAGTCAGTAAATTTGCTTTAAATAAATGAATGATCAGATAATACAGTGACTTTTTTCTTCTTTGTTTTTTGGGGGGATTTAGGGGGAGAGTAAGATGTTGGAGGGTGTTTTGGAAAGAGAAATCTAGTCAAGAATGAAGATCTTTGCAGGACAGATGATGGGATTTATGCAAATAGAAAGGAGACAGGAAGGAATTCTAGGTAGGGAGAATAGGAATGGCTGTTTTACAAATAGGAGTCCTGGGACCAGCTAGTCCAATTAATCTTCTCAGATTGGAAGAGTGGAGACAAGTGTGGAAACTCCAGGGACAGGGAGGAAGCATAGTGAGTGTGGCATCCTGAATGGTTGGACCAAGTGTATGTATATATATTTTTTCTTTGTTTTACTGGCCATTTGAATATCCTCTGGGATATTCTTTATCACTTATCTTTTTTTGTTTGTTTGTTTATTCCTTCTGTGTGTGGTCCAGTGTATCTAGCAACAGAGTATACTATTTTAAAATACAAGTCATATGAAAAATTTCTCTAGTAGCAGATGGCTTACTAAGACTCTGCTTTTATACTTCATAGCTTCACAAAAATTAGATATGACTCAGTTCTGTAAAGGCCACTTTACCCTTGCTATTCAGCTCTCATACACTGGACATGCTGCTAGGAGAGGTTATTCCTTGGAAAAAATAATATTGTGCTTGGAAGGGTGGAGGGTCAGCGAAAGAAAGAAAACTCTCATCAAATGGGATTGACACAGTGACTGTAACAATGGGCTCAAGTGTATCAAACGATAAGGAATAGGACAAGGTTCAGACCTGTACTCGACTTGATGGCACCTAACAATAACACATTGTTGGTATATTTGGAGCCCTAGTGACACAGTGGTTAAGAACTTGCCTTCTAACTGTAATATCTGCAGTTGAAACCCACCAGTTGCTCTTTGGGGAAAAGATGTGGCAGCTTGATTTCTATTTCTGTAAAGATTGCAGCCTTTGGGAATTCTTTGGAGCAGTTCAACTCTCTCCTATGAGTCAGATTGACTGAATGGCAGTAGGATGTTTTTGTTCTGACTCCTGGTGTGTGCTTATTCCTGAGAGAGCATCCTCCAGAGGCATAAGGAACCAGAGGTTTAGATAAGGGAGTGCAGATCCACAGGTTTTCATGTTTCTTTACCTCCTGTAATAGTTCAAGTTCTTCACATTAAGAGCTGCAGCTTCTTCTCCATCTGCAGTGTGCGCAGTACTAAGCTGGGTACATTAGAGCATTTGAAGAAGGTTTGTGGAATGCATAAATAAATGAGCGAGCTACTTAAAATTCACAGCCGTCAAGAACTTCAGTAATTTTGGAGACTCATGTAAAGATACTGTATGCTTTACTTAGATTTTTGTTGACTTTTCTTTGAGTCTGAGTGACTAAATTTTCCTGGAAATGCACATAACTGCAGGAAAAAAGGAACTAAATGGCAATGTTTATGTCAGACTCGGGAAAATCATTCCAGTTTCATGAAGATACCCTTTCTGACTTTGTTTTCTGTTCCATGCATTGTATTGGAAACACATGGTAGCATCTCACAGTATGGTGGAGAGTATCCTGACCCATCTTTCATCATAATCTTTTGTGGGGCAAACTTGTATGGGGCAAAGTAAATATTGGTTTGCTGTTGTTTTGGGTTTGTTTTTTTTAAATTTTATTTTATTATTTGTGTGTGTGCGTGTACTGTCAAATCAGATCTGACTGATACAGGAGGAGATTGTCCCTCCTTCCCCAGAGCATCTGGTGGATTCGAACCGTGCGCCTCTGGGATTGCAGTGCAGCTTCTTGCCACTAGGCCACCAGAGCTCCCCATGTTTTGGGGTTTTAATTTGCTTTCCCAGCTATGTTAACTGAGTTTTGGAGTAGAGAGTCTATGTTACTGGCTATTGCAGGCCAAGAAGAAGATGCGGCTGCCTCCCTTGTGGGTGAGTTTCTGCCTTGACAGCAGAAATGGCAGGAGAGATTGCTTGCTGGGTTCCCGTGCCCTCATCCATGCCACTACCCACATTGTCTTCTATGACCTCTCCAAATCTACTATCCAACCAAGCCTCAGTTAAAGCAAGCAGAGTTCAAATGAAATTTTTATACACAGGAGGAAAACCTGCTTTTTAAATTTAGGTTTTAGATTTCTCATCCACATACATACTTTGATCTTCTCTCCCACTCAGATTGTGACCGTGGATTCCTCTTGGAAACTGGAAGACCTTAAAACTCATTTCAATTAAAATGCTAGAGTCCGATGCACAGAGCTTATAGTGTGAGGGCACCCATCCTTTAGCTTCACTTCTTTAAAGGACCACGCAGTATAAGTCTCCCAAGGCTTCTGTTGTTAGGGTGTAATGAATTACAATCAAGTCAATTTTTAAGTCAATTTTTATCATTTTGCTGTCTATCATAATGCTTATTGTACTTATAATGCCAATGTCTAATAATCTTACTTCACTGAAATATTGTTGAAAATAAGGACTATACCTGATTCATTTTATATCTTGTTTGTATGATTCTATTATTGTCTTGCATGCCCTGGATAAGAGTGAGCAAATGAATCAATTAATAAGTTGTTAAAGAAGGGAAGAAATTAATGAATGACTAAATAAAAAGTTATGAAGATGAATACATGATTATGTAAATAAGTATCAATAGGCTGTTTAAACCCCAAATGCTTTTTGAAATAATAAAATAATTTTGGAGAAGTGAATCCTACATGACAAGTCATTATTGTAATTATTATTATTCTCTTTAACAGAGAAGGTCGAGCTGCATTGGTTTCCTCCTTTGGGGTCTTCAAGTACTTGACCATGTACGGCATAATCCAGTTTGTTGGTACATCACTGCTCTATTGGGTATGAACAAAAATAATGTCTTCCCAGTTCTAAATGCGTTGACATTCCTGATTTATTCTTCAAGGTATAGATTCTACATAAGATTTAATGTTTTATTAATAAATGCATTTCTCAAAATAAGTGTCTACAGACTTGAGGATGTGGTAGACTTGTGTATAAAGCATAAAGCTAAAAATAAGTAGCTGGAGAAGAACTTTCTAAGAGTGTTGCTTTTCCCAAGACAACCCAAGGCACTTGACCTCTCCTACCTTCCACTTCTTCAGTTGGCGAATGAGAGCTTTAGAGCAGCCTAAATATAACTCATCAGGAAATGAATCAGTCTCCAACTGTGGAATATTTTTGGCAAAAGAAAGATTGAGAGATAAAAAGGAAGAAAATCTGTTGACATTGACATTGAAGTGCTACAGAGTGATAAAAGGATTGCCAGAACAGGAATTTACCTGTGACTCTACCAGAACTTAGAGTTTAGAGATACCATTAGTAAAGGCAACTTTTAAAACAGCACCTTTTTAAAACAGCTTAATGTTTAGAGGTGCCATTAGTAAAAGCAATTTTTTTTTTATTTGTTAATGGTTTATTTACGAAGGGAAACTATTCCTTAAGTGACACAGTCATGCTGCACAGTTCAGGAACACAGGTCATAGAACTCAATCCAGAGAAATTCTGTACATTCCAAAGTTATTTTACACTCTGAAAGATACCAGCTTTCCTCATCTCCTCAAAATCCTTCATGGCATCATAATTTCTATAGAAATCCGCATATGCCTTCTTTCTTCGGTCAGCCACAGCAAACTTATAGCAAGCTGCAACGCCCAGGGACAGAGTGATAGCTATCGTGAGATGTATGCGCAGACGCTTGGCCAGCAGGCCTCGCATCTGAGGTTTTGCCAAAGCACGGGAAGACATGGCGGTCGTTCTTCTCCCTCAACACCAACGTCCTTCCTGACTGACGTAAAAGCAATTTTAAAACAAAACAAAATTATTCTTTTAAAAAACCCCACAAAATGCAAGTTAGAATTAAATAACGAAAGTAGTCATTAAAGAATATATTATCTCTGTGGAAGGAATGTATGCAGGGTAAAAGCAACCTTCATCGATCTTGTAATAATTCTTTCTACAGTAAAAAAATACAACAAACTCAGGGAATATCTCAGTAAGGGGATTTTTAATTTACATCTTTTTTTAGAAAATAAAACAAATAAATTAAAGGACCACAGTACTGCAGCATCTAATGGGCTGGTCCTTATAAGAATTTCACACAGAGCAATGTAGTAGAAACTAGTGGGGTTAAACCGAAATTGGACTGCAAGTTTGGATACCTGGGTTAAAGTTCTGCCTCTGTCTTTAAATCCCAAGGAAAAGTTAAGCCTTTCCCTCTTTTTTGGGAAGACCACTGGACCAGAGTCCCTTTTATAATTCTGTAAGAGTTGTACCTAGAATTAACACCAAGGCTTTGAAAACTTCTTGGTCTATCTCCCCCTACATGTCTTACAGATATATCTGTATAATATATAACATTGTACAGTATGAAACATTATGTATAATATATAAGGTAATATGTATTTATACAGATATACTGACCTTCTAGCTGGTTTTCAGAGGCAATAAATCTGATGGGAGGAGATTGCACATTCTTTTACCACAGAGCATCTGGTGCATTCAAATCTCATGTTTTGAGGATTGCAGCACAGCTTCTTAACACTACACCACCAGATATATGTGTGTGTGTGTGTGTGTGTGTGTGTGTGTCTAATGTGTAATGTATATGTGTGTGTAATGTGTAAAGTGTATATGTGTTTGTGTGTGTGTCTATCTATCTATCTATCTATCTATCTATCTATCTATCTATCTATCTATATCGCCCATAGATTTGGAACAAACCCATAGCAGACCCTCTGATGCATTTTCAGAAGCAGTAATTGCCTGGGAAGAGGTTGCCTACCCTTCTGCTATATACATATGTATGTATGTATGTATGTATAATATGTAAAGTGTGTCTATCTCTCTATCTGTTACATACATGTATATTCATTTGTGATACAAGTTGAAATTAAATAGAGAGGAATGAAAAATAAGATTTTTCCCCTCACTACTTAAAAGGAAAAGTGTTAGAATAATAAAAATGCTACTAAGACAAAAACACATTTTTATTCACTTTTCTTTTCTTCTCAGCAACTGCAGCTCTTTGGAAATTACCAATACCTTATGCAAGACGTAGCCATTACACTGATGGTCTGCCTAACAAGTAAGCTCATTAGGAAAGCAAACTATTCATATTTATCCATAGCATTCTAGAAATACACAAATAAGATCATTTGAGAAAGATATGCTCTACTGACTAAAATTTCATTTGCTTTGTAAAATTTTTTTGGAAGTGGTGTGTGTCAAGGGATGGAGTGAGCTGAGACTGAAAGGACTTGGAGTTGATATTAAAATATCTTAACAGCAAAGAGACCCAGTCATATGAAATTATCAGTGTGTAGTCTCATGGGGGGGGGTACACGAGAAATCTAGAAAGGAAAATTTAAAAACTCAAAGGTCATTTTCCATCATTCAGCTATGTCTCACATTGACATGAAACTGGATTTTGCTAGGTCTTTGATGCCTGAGAACAAATGGTAGCATTTTATTCAGTGCTAGAATTCTCTCAAAAGCTAAGTGTGGTTTACAGCAGCTATTGCTCATTTCCGTCTTTTGAAATGACACTGATAAAGCATTCTCCACGAAGGAGCTCAGGGCTTGATACTAACTCTTAATAAGTGAGAAAGGTGATTGTCTCACTAGAGAGCAAAGAAAAGGAATCTGGTTGCCATCTCTTTAATTTTTTGTTCAGCAATGTGAAGTTAAGAAAAACAACAGATAAAACATCAAGAAACATAGGATATTAATAACCTCAAGAATTTTATGTAGCACCTTAAAACAGGAAACTGATATTGAAGTCATTTATTATATTCTCCTCCTGTCAAATTTCATCAGGATCAGCTAGAGATAGAGGCAATGTCAATTTTGGTTCTCAGGCTGGATATATCTCTTCATAGTCAATTTATATTTTTTTCCCCTACATGTTATTAATGTTCACATCATTGGGTAATTTTGAATCAATGATACTGTTTTTTAAATGCTACTTAGAAGTAAGGATGACAACTTTATCTCATGCTCTTTGGACATGTTTGATAAAGTAGATGGTCTGCAGAAAGAGAGGAAGACCTTCAATGAGATGGTTTAAAACAGTAAGTATAGTGATGCACTCATATATAGCAACAATTTTGAGGATATGCAAGACTGGGTAGTATTTAATCCTAATATATGTAAGGATGTATTATTTGAATAAATTAAAGGCACCTAACAAGACTTGGTATGTATCTGAGAGCTGGACAATGAATAAGATTTACAGAAGAACTGACGCTTTTAAGTTGTGGTGTTGTAGAAGAATACGGAATATTCCCCGGACTAACAGAACCAACAGGTATGTCTTGGAAAAGGTGCATCCAGAGTGCACCTTGGAGGCAAGAGTGACAAAGCTCTGTCTCTCATATTTTGAACATGTTGCTCGGAGAGGCTATGCTTTGGAAAAGGATATGATGCTTGGTAGGCTGGATAGTCAGGGAAAGAGAGGAAGACCACCATTGAGATGGGTTGACAGGGTGACTGCAGTACTGGGCTCAAGTGCATCAGAGATGGTGAGGATTGCACTGGACAGAATGGGATTCAGGTCTGTTGTTCACAAGTCACTATGAGTCACACTTGACTTGGTGACACCTAACAATAATGATGTCAACTTGATATTATTTCTGCAGCATCGTGTATGTATATGCAAACTGCATTATTTATTTGTGATCATGATCAATAAATCAAGCTAACAATAAAATAAACACACACAAAGATCTTTGAAGAAATAAGGTAACAAGATGTTATGTGAACACAAGTTGGGACAGATTCATAGTTGATTTTCCAGTGGGTGTTCAGAGGTTGTTAATTGTATGGGTGGAGATTGCCCATCTTTTTCCCTCACAGAGCATCCGGTAGATTCAAACTTCCTACTTTTGCATTGACAGCGCACTTCCTTAACCACTAGGCCACTTCTAACTCTGAAACCCCAGGAAAATAATTGATGAAATACATATTTTCTTAATATCAACTATCCTCATAGAAACAAACATATAGATATGTTTTGGAGAAGGTGCAGCCAGAGTGCTCCTTGGAGGCAAACATGATTGCACATACTTTGGGCATGTTGCTAGGGGAGGCTATTCACCGGAGAGGGATAGCATGCCTGGGAAGGCAGAGGGACAGTAAAAGAGAGAAAGACCCTTGACCAGATGGAGTGACACTGACTGCAGCAATGAGCTCAAGTGTGTCAGAGATTGTGAGGATGGCACAGGAAAGGACAGAGTTCAGGTCTGCTGTTCACAGGGTTGCTATGAGTCATACTCAATTCAATAACCACAACAGATTGTTATAAAACTAAGAGAAAATGGCACTTGTAAAATATATGGCACAGTAAATGGCACATAGTCAGTATTCATTATACCTTGAAAGCTCTCACTCTCTTCACTCTCTTGAAGCTCTCCTTCTCTTGAGGTGACCGGATTATTCAGTGCATCCTTGGAGAGAATGACATCATAAACAAGTGATTGTATTTTTTGTGCTGTCGAGTTAGACCCTACCCATGGCTGACCTTGCTGTAGGTTTTCAGAGGCAATAAATTACATGGGAGGACATTGCCAATCCTTCTTTCAGGGAGCAGCAGGTGGATTCGAACCACATGCCTTTGGGATTACAGCACAGCTTCTTACCAGTAGGCCACCAGTGCTTCCTTTGACTAGGAATCCAAAACATAGGTAGGTCTAGTCTTATGTCAGAAATGCAAAATGATGTTGAGCAAGTTGTTTATAGCTTTCACATATTCAACTCCATATTATTCATTATTGAGTTAGCATGGTGTTGTGTTTGTTTTACTCTCTCCAATGGCAGCAGCCTGCTGAACTTCATGCAAGTTGGTCAGTCCCTGACTGACTCAGTGGACTCCGTGAGGGGGTTGAGATGACTCAGGGAAGGCCAGCACAGTCACTAGGGTAAAAAGCCTCAGCAAGGTGAGAGATCAGAAGAGGGCTGTTCTATTGGAATAGCAATCATTGTTCAAATTATTAGTCAACAGAGGTTAAGCTAATTTAGTAAGGGAGCTGAACTCAGGACACACATGTGAAGGTCATGCTCCTCCCTAGAAGCGGAAGATATATTTAGGTCTCTTTGAATAAGTACTGTATATGGTTGCCATATCTCTTGACACTAAGTGGACTCTTACCATTCATTGTCTTCAACTATGAGACTTAGTAAAATTGCTTGATCCACAGGAAGTAACCCATTCAACATTCTCTTACACACGTTTCTTTCCTACAATATATTATACATGTGTTTCTTTCCTACAATATACTAAGCTCATAGGTGCCTGAGGCATAAGAAGGCTGTTTGCCATTGTTTACAGTATAGCGAGAAACTCATATTTCCCAAAAGTTCTGCAGTTGAAAACACTGAGTAACATGTTTCTCCTCAGACACACATGGATCGTCATGAGTTGGAATCTACTCAAGGGCAAAGGTGGTTTTGATTGTTTTCTCACAGATGAATGAATGTGATACAATTAGAAATTAGTAAAATTGGCAGAAATCAGCAGATGCTTTGGGAGTTCAGATAAAGGAAATTGTTTCTGACAATGAGAGGCAAGGGAGGAGACAGCAATGGATGATTCCACGAAAGAATTAGCATTTGCACCAAAACAGAGTTCAAATATCTGCCTCTTCAAAGAAGAGCATTTCAAGTGGAAGAAAGCAGCATGAGCAAGAGAAAGGTAATAAGCATGGTACGTGGGTTTTTCAATTTGACTGCACTATAGGATATGTGCAAAAAACAGCAGGAGACGGAATTGGAAAAGGTGCATTGTGCCAGATCACAGAGAACCTTGCCTGCCATGCTGAGAACTGGAGAAATTCACCCTCAGCTCTAAGGAGTTGTTGATGATTGGACAATCTATGTAAACTTACTCCCATTGAGGCTTCTACAGGTCTTTGATTAAGGCTTTCTGCAACAAACCTGAATTAGTGAGGGGGGGCAGGCTATATCATCAAACATTAGTTTATTGGCTTACTTATTCTTCTTAGTTTTAAAGTGAAATTTTAACAAAGAAGGCTAATCATACACTAAAGAGAAAATCAAGAGAAGGTGAAGACAGGAGGGAGATCAATGAGGAAAATGCATATATTAAAACAAGATTTCTGGAAAGGACTTATCCAAAGTCCTAAAGAGCAAGAATATCACTTTATAGATAGATGAAGAGGTCTCTGATCTAAGTCATGGTGATTTTTTTTCCCCCAAGTGCTTCCTATGTGTTTGAAAGTTGCACAATCAATAAAGATGACAAAGGAAGAATGTATGCCTTTGAATTGTATTGGAGAAGACTACTGAATATCCCATTGACTGCCGAAAGAACAAAGCAGTCTGTCTTGGAGAAAGTATAACCAGGGTGCTCTTTAGAGGCAAGGATGGGGAAACTTCACGTCACATACTTTGAACACAAGAGAGACCAGTCATTGGAACAGACATCATGCTTGGAAAGGTCACAGGTCAGGAATAGAGAGGATGACCCTCAACAAAATGGACTGATACGGTGACTGTAACTATGGGCTTGAGCCAAATTCAACCCATTACCGTTGAGTCAATTCCACTCCTGGTGACTCTTCATGGTGCTCCTGAGGCTGAAAATCTTTAAGAAAGGAGGCTCCCTGCCATCCTCACTCAGAGTGGCTAGAGTATTCAAACTGTTGACCTTTTGGTTAACAGTATAGCATATAATGCCCTGTGCCTCAAGGCTCCTTACTAAAGCACATCTTGTTCAACAGATGTTGCCATGGAGTCTGAACTGACTCCCAGGTAACCTTTCCATGAGTTTCTGAGGTTGTCACTTGTATATAAGGAGATTGCTCATCTTTTGCTCTTGGAGTCCCTGGTAGATAAGAACCTCCAGTGAGGTGTATGTAGCCTTTGGTTGTTTGTGTTGCTCTCTCCAGTACATGTTGTTATGTGCCATCCAGTCAGAACTGACTCATCGCTGATCCCCCCTGTGGATTTTCAGAGGCTGAAAATCACATGGGAGGAGATTGCCCATCTTTCTCCTGAGGAGGTGCTGTTGGATTGGAACCACCAGAGAAGTGCAACCTTTAGGTTAGTTGTGCAGCTCTCTATAGCACA